GAATTTGGAATTAAAATTCTTGAATTTATTCCTTCTCACAATCATTATTATTTCATAAATTTGGTCATATTAAACTTTGTATGATACAATTCACCTAATTCCTATATATAAAATTATAATTACAAAAAAAGTTTAGGAAACGTCTAACGAGTTTCGGGCAAGAGCGTTTCGAAAAAAAAAAAATGATACATATAAATATGTAATTTTCATTATTTTGAACTGGTGACCATTATCATTATTGTTTCATTAACATCGTTTGGCATGCAATATGTGCATGACCACCACGCATTACGTCAATCTTAAACAAGTAGTTCCGATTAAAACTAAAAGAAACATTTTAATATTTGATAAGTCATGAGAACTAACATTACACCATTTATTTATTTTTTAATTAGAATTAGATTTAAGATGCAAGTCCTAATTTAACTTATCAGCATACTTACAATGGTGGTGTGACTGGAAACTAAAATGTAAAATCTACGCCAGATGGAGAAAAAATGATATGACCAATGGCAAAATATTAAAGGTACAACTAATTTAGCCTATATGTAAGATATGTAAGTTATGTAAGTTATGTAAGTAGAATATTAGAGAATAGTCTCGTGACAAAATTAGTAATCCAAAGGTTAACAAGGCCACAAATCTAATGCATTTTGTATACATATTTTTAACCGTTTTAGGAGGAAGAAGAAAAAAAAAGAAAGGAGAGTTACGAACTTAGGTCACACTACATTTATGGATTATACCGAATAATTCTGAAACCGAGTACATAAAGTACATAAAAATCCATGCAAAAAAATGTGGGGTACCGCCAATTGCAACTGCCCGGCGTGGATAATCTGTTTTTACCCGCATCATTTCATATAGAATGAAATAGGTACTTTACGCATTGCATCATGTTGAGGTACGTACGGTATAATTATTTAGTAAGAGATAAAGAGAAAGAAAAGAAAAAGGGAAAAAATGATTGGAGTAATAAATCTGATAAAATATTATTTGTTCAATGGATGGTCATTAAAAAATGTGGAGATGATCAACACAGTGAAACTATCGCTATTTATGGAATTTTTTTTATAAAAAAAATTTAACGTTAGAAATAAGTACGTATCTGGTATATACGTACGTATGTATAACAAAGATATATAATAACAGATAATATTAGAATTTTATTGATAGAATTTATTATAGGATTATTATAGTATTATTATAATACGTATAGTTATTACATATTACATATTACATATTACAGAATTATTACAGTATTATTACAGTATTATTATAGTATTATTAGTATTATTATTATCCCCATCAAAAATCAGAAAATTACTAAACCTAATTTGGGAGAGAATATCCAATGAAAAAGAATAAAAAATTTTAAAAAAGATCTCGTGAGCGATACAATGGAAATAACATGTACACATAAAGATCTTGATTAATTAATCTGTACGTAGTCGTTCGTTCATCAAAATCATCAATCTACATCCTAGATAACCATATATTTTTCGTATATTTATATCTACGTGCTTTAAAATTGATGTTTATTTATTTTGACTTGTTATTGACTGATATGATTAAAATGACATATTGATTTGTTGTGCACCCGTGATCGAACCTCGTGACGCATCCCGTGACAAATTGCGTGCATGACCACACAACAGAAACCGTAAATTTAAAAAAAACATTGGCGCGACATATTCTTTAATGTAGTAATAAGAAAAATAATAGAAATCTTTTAGCCAGAATAAATATCATCCGATATTTGGGTTTATTGCGTGACATTACGGAACAACTTAAGCGGTTAACTTGAGCACAGCATTAGTTTTTTTTTATTTTTTTTTTTTACAGGATAAACCATGTACAAACCCCAGAAGAAATTCTTGTGTCATAACAAGTAGACTGCAGGGATGCGAGTAAAGCAAGACAAATCACGCCTCGAAACATTATAAGCCATTAATCTTTTTCTTTTTCAAGATCTACTATTGTTATTTTATTTTATTTATTATAATTATTGGGGGACAATATTGGGGCGATATTAGGACAATATTGAACTAGTATTGGTAATCTTATTTTAATTACCATTTTATCTTTTATTACCAAATTATCTTTTATTATATAATTGTTTCTTTTATTATCATAATTGTTTTTTCTCAGCCTACAAAAACTAAAAACGAACGAGAAAAAAAAAAAAGGTTTCGTATTTCGCGTTTTAAATCGTGACCAATTTAACCACCAAAGAAAGACTAATGATACCAATTTAATACAAAT